GGTTCCTTAAAGTTCCTGTAATTCCTTCCAAGGAATTACACGCTACCAAGTGCCTACCAACAGAATAGAGTCGTTTTCTTTATCTATCTATATATATATATATATATGTTTTTTGTTTTCTTTATCTGGTTCGTTTGGGGTTGAAGGTCAGGGCTTCGATTCTTACACCCGCGCCCAGGACGCAGCGATCCATCGTTTCTTGGATGTTCTTGAATAAAAAAGAAGTAGGGTTCTAAGTAGGGAAACTTATTTATAACCTTATTCAGGGTACTTCTAACCCCACCTATAACTACCATGAACCTTTAAGTAGTGCTTAGTGCTTAGGGTTCAGGAAGGTGTTGAAGTCCAAGGGTCCAGGGCTGACGGCTTAGGGGATTGACGCAGTCAAATCCTCTTTTTGCCTGCGAGGTCTGAAAACCCTATAAGCCCTTGAACTCTGCGCCCTACATGGCGCGAGCGACGTGGATGCGAAGTGCTTTGTGCAAGTGCGATAAACAAAACACGTGCGTCTCAGACAAAGAGCCAACAGTCTTAAAAGCAATGAGCATCGCGCGCAAAGAGATCCCAGTACTCAAAGCTCAAAAGGGCTTTGGGGGGGCATCGGGTGCCAAATCGAAATTGTGCAGCAGTGGTGATGCTCGCTCTTCATCAAGACCACGATCGCGGTCGCAATCATGGTTACCGATACGGCCACTGTCGCCACAAGCATCACCATCACCATAAACGCCATCATCATCTTCATCGTCATCGCCATAATCAGCATCGCCACCATCACTGCCACCACCACCACCACCACCACCACCACCACACACCACCCCCACCCCCACCCCCACCCCCACCCCCACCCCCACCCCCACCCCCACCACCACCACCACCACCACCAAAATCACCACCACCACCACCACCACAAAAATCACCACCACCACCACCACCACAAAAATCACCACCACCACCACCACCACCGCCACCGCCACCGCCACCACCACCACCACCACCACCAAAGATCACCACCACCACCACCACAAAAACCACCACCACCACCACCATCATCATCATCACATCGTGGTCCTCCCCCTCCTCGTCAGCCATCACCATTACATTGTATCAGCTTCCGATCCTCGAACTCTAAACCCTAAACCCTAAACCCTAAACTCGACACTTTGTCAACCTGGAGCACGTGGGCCCTCGGCCCGAACCTTCCTTCAGTCAAGCTGCAGGCGCGCCATCGCGGGGAGGGATAACACCTGACAACGAATGTATATGTATATGTATGTGTGTATGTATATGTATGTATATGTATGTATATGTATGTATATGTATGTATATGTATGTATATGTATGTATATGTATATATGTATATATGTATATATGTATATATGTATATATGTATATATGTATATATGTATATATGTATATATGTATACATGTATATATGTATATATGTATATATGTATATATGTATATATGTATATATGTAGATATGTATATATGTATATGTGTATATATGTAGATATGTATATATGTATATATGTATATATGTATATATGTATATATGTATAACTTCAGAATGTACCTATGTATGATACTATCAGAAACGTATCTATGTGTGTGTATATATATATATACACTACAACAGGACAGGCAATCTCCATGCGGCCCATGCGGGCAGCTGCCTGGCGGAAGTGGCCCCTTGGCTGACAGGCCGAGTTGCGCTGCTCATGACATGGAATCAACGACTGTAGCAAAGATCTAAACCTTAAACCCTGAACCCTAAAGTTAATGTCATCATTTCGGAGAGAATGAAACGGTGCCTGGCCTGCAAATCCAAACCAGATACCACAAGAAAAGCTTAAGGTGCACTCGGACGCCACTTGCACGATAATATTGGGACACCATCACCCACATCGCGACAACCTCCGAAGCATCGAATTCAACCCTAAACCTCTCCCATTTTTTGCCGCCAGGTCTTTGGCAGGCAAAACCCTAAACCCTGAACACTAAAGCCCTTAAAGCCCTAGACTGCTTAATCCCCGAACCCCACCGGGTGCCTCGGACCTTTCATGAAACCTTCAGTACTTGGAATTGCATGAGCAATACTTAGTTGTCCAGTACCTAGGGGTTTTAAAGGTTAACCTTTGGGATTTTTAAGGGGAATATATTAACCCAAAAAGGTTAAAGGTTACCTACTCTACTACTAAGAATAAACACATGTGGAAAGGGGGGGGGGGCTACTGTTGTACTTGCATCTTTACCCGTGAGCCTTCAAGCAATAAAGGGCCTATTTGATGAAAAGGGCGATTTTGGGGGGCGTTCATGGTAGGAGTATGGGGGTATAGCATTGCTAGTTACCCGTTCCAGACTCTGGTCGATCAGCTGGGAAGCAACATATTGCCAGATTTCAAGAAACACCAGCACGAAAGCGCAACTTCCTCAAGTCTCCTGACATCTGTGCAGGTACCTTAGATCGTCGGGAAAGCGGCTCTTCGTCCTGTTGCTGATGATGTCGTTCTCGTCGTTCTCCCGCCTAACTTCTCACGAGCTGCGGTGTTGCTCCAGAAGCAGACCAAATTGGCTGTGCTTGGGCCTGATCTTGCATGCAAGGTGCCTCCACACCCAAGCCTGACAAATCCTGCTGTTTGATGTCACATCTCACATGAGTTCGTCATGATCGGGTCGTGCAATATCCCGAAGGTACCTCTCAAGGTCAGCGCGCAACTGGTCAATGGCCGCTTGCTGCTGTGCCAGCGACTGTTGTTGCCGAAGAACGACACTTTCAGCACGATCTTGGATCTGTATCATCATCTTCTCGCATACTGGGCAGGTGATGCAACGTAGAAATCAAGAATGCTGTACTGGTCTCGTGACCAGGATGGCGTGAGTAGGCCATAGTACGTAGCCCCAAGCCCCAGACCCTAAACCCTCCCTGCACCCCTAAGCCCTAAGCTCTAAAACAAGTTCTAAAACCTTTTTGCAAACCCTAAACCCTAAACCCAAAACCCGAAACCTTCCCTAAACCCCTAAGCCCCAACTTCAAGTACCCCTAAACCCTAAACCCTAAACCCTAAACCCTAAACCCTAAACCCTAAACCCTAAACCCTAAACCCTAAACCCTCCGGAAAAGTCAAACGGCAGCTGCGGCGGCGGCTGCGGCGGCTGCGGCAGCTGCGGACCCGGGCGCCGGCGGTCGTGCGGCGACCATGACGGGTGCGGGGGCGGAGGCCTTGACCTGGCCCGGAAGAGGGTTTAGGGTTCAGGGTTTAGGGTTTAGGGTTCAGGGTTTAGGGTTTCGGGTTTAGTGCTTTTTGTTTTACCACCTGCCTCGCCGGGTTTAGTCAGGGTTTAGGGCTGCTTGAGGGTTCATGGGCAGTTGTAAGTAGGGTCACAGGTACCCTAAATAAGGTAATAAGCATAGTTACCCTACTTTTAGACCTACTTCTATAGCTCAGGAACCTCCAAGTTTGGGGCTTATAGGCATGTTTAGGGTTCCTTCTGGGGCACCCAGGGTTTGGTGTTTAGGCTTTTTAGGGCCACACTCTAGTTATCCCTGAGAACCAAGGGAGAAATAGCATGGTGACTCTTAGCATATGACAGGGTCTCTTGAACGACGCAAAAAATTGAGAGCTATCCTGACAGCGTCCCGGAGAAAAACGCGAATCCGCGAACCCGGGAGCCCGCGAAGCCGAAAATCCCGCGAACCCGTGCGTACGAATCCACGAATCCACGAATCCGCGAACGCAGTCAGTATAGATCTGCAAAGATTTTGAAGGGACCGGGCCAACATGACGCCAATAAGCCGATGAGGCGTCTGACAGAATGAATGCCGGAGTTCGACCAGTACAGGTATGGCTGTCCCAAACAGACTCGTTCGGATAAATAAGGGGCTTAGGCTAAATAGACGGCTTTAAGCCTTGCCCCAAACCGAGCCTAAACCTCAGATTTAGGGCTTCGTAGATCAAAGCGACCGGGGAGTGGAAATCATTCCAGGGGTCCAAGTTTTTTGACACCTCGTGCTTGCAAGGAATTCTCGGACCCAAAAACCTCAAAGTTTGGCGACGGACCGTCGAAGAGCCCCAACCAGTACATTTGGCTGGTGAATACTCGGATGCTAAGAAGATCATACAGTATTGGGCAGTTATTTTTAGGTTCCTGAATTTCGCAAAACAGGCTGCTGCCAAGCAACCGTGGACGCTGCAAGCGCCTCCTGCGAAGCCTGGCCACTACAAAGCTCCTACTGTTCTTGCCTTCAAGCCATGTTAATGTTCAATTGTGGCCTCTCCCAAACCCCAAACCCCAAACCCGAAACCCTAAACCTCCTAAACCTCCCAAACCTCCCAAACCTCCCAAACCTCCCAAACCTCCCAAACCTCCCCGGTCCTTCGGCTCCGGCGTGGGCATCCCGGCTCTTGCTGCCAGGATGTTCAGCGACTCGTCCTTTTGAGGGGTTTTAGGGCTTCTAGGGTTTAGGGTTCCTAGGGTTTCGGGTCTAGGGTTTCTAGGGTTTAGGGTTTAGGGTTTCCAGTCCTTCGGCTTAGGGTTTATAGGGGCTTAAAGGGTTTAGGGCTTCTAGGTTGCTTTCTTGGTTTTTGATCGTTTAAATCTTGATAGGGTCTAGGGTTTAGGGCATAGGGTTTGGTTTTAGGGGTTTATGGCTTCCGGGTTCGTTTTTGGTTTAGGGCTTCAGGGCTTTAAGCTTTGGGGGGTTAGGAATTCAGGGTTTGTTGCCACCTGCCTAGCAGCCTCGGCACCCCACTGATAGGTTTAGGGTATCGGGTTTGGGGCAGGTATCGTACAGGGCAAGGGGCTTTAGTAAAATGCGTTTAAATTGTAAGCGTACGCCTTCAACAATTTGGGGGGGTCCTTCTTTTTCGTAACTTATGGGATATGGGGGCATGGCACGGGCACTCTGGGTATCCCTATTTCCTAAACCCTAAACCCTAGGCCCTTGAGCTTCTTGAGCTATCCGGCACTTAAGTCAGGAAGTTTTGGGCTCCGTTTCGGGCTCACGCACCCCGTGTCCTCTTCAGAAAGCCACTTCCGAAGCCTGGGCGGGGTGTTTGCGGGGCTTTGTTTAGGGTTTCGGATGAGGTTCGGGGCAGACCTTCATCTGGGCCTGTTTGCTTCTGAAACCCTAAACCCTAAACCCGAAACCCTAAACCCTAAACCCTAAACCCTAAACCCTAAACCGTTCGGCAGCTTGCACGTCACGTTAATGCCATGAGCTGCCCGCCCTTCGTCCTCATGCAGCTCACGACAACACCTGCCTCCGTTCAGGGCGTCCAAGCCCCGAGCAGATTCGCCTAGAACCGACATTCCAAATCCTGATTCCCTCCAGAACTTCTGCCTTAAAGCCGCTTTAAAGCCCTATAAACCCTTTTTTGAAGCTGGGACATGCTGACTGCCAGACACTTTCACCGTAAACCCTAAACCCTCAACCCTAAGATGCCTGCGCCCCTCACCCTAAACTTCGCTTACAAGGCCGGGATACATGTCCAAGACAGGCTTGTCAATCTGCGTCCCCTGCTCCACCTAGAGGTTTAGGGTTTAGGGTTTAGGGCTTAGGGTTTATGATGGTTTATGGCAGAGGCTATGGGACTCATGGATCAAGTTGGTGAGGGTTTACAGTATTTAAAGCTGACCTAAACCCAACCCCCCCCCCCCCCCCCACCTCCCCCAAACCCCGCCCCAAACCTCCCTCCCAAACCTCCCTCCCCCGCTTTGAGTACTCTTGGGTTTCGTGAGGAGTTTAGCCTCTGAAAGGGATTCTTCTATGACTTTGCTTGCTGTCTTGGGCCTCTACCTTTGTTTAGGGTTTAGGGTTTGGGGCTTCAAGGATTCAAGGTTTTTGGGGCTTGGGGTTTAGGGTTTCGCGTATGGGCTTTGAAAGGCTTTCAAGGGGTTGGCGGGTTTGGGGCAGTTGCGGGTACCAAGGGCTCTTTCGCTCTTTGGTGCCTTTGGTTCATGGGTAATTTTTTAAGTGGGGCTATGAGTAGGGAGACTAGAGTTATAAATGGCTATAACCTATTTTAGAGTACTTGTAGCCCTACCTATAACTACCCGTGAACCTTCAAGTAGGGCTTCGGGTTTAGGCTCTAGGCTTCAGGGACAAGCTCAAGGGCACCAGTTGAAAGACATCGCGGTTTCCAAAAATCAAAGTCCGCTTTAACGCCGCAAGAAACAAACCCCCCTCAGAGCCACCACATTTTTGGAAACGTCCTGGGAGGGAATAATTTCAGACGCCGCAGAGCTGCTTTTACTTCCAACTGTTGCCTCGGGAAGCGACTTGAAGTTCTATAGGGGGTAGTGCTTCAAAAGCAGGATGCTAATTTCGAAGTGCCCTGGGTCGGGCCATAGCCAGTTATCACTACTTACGCCTACCCATGAAGCTTCAAGCATGGGGGCTGCTCGGGCCTTTGCCCAAGAGGGGATTCAGGGTTTAGGGGCTTGACGTGTAAGGGTTTTAGGTTTTGGGGTTTAGGGTCTAGGGTTTAGGGTTTAGGGCTAGGGCTTAGGGTTCGGAAGTTTCGGGGTCTTGCCAGGCAAGGCGCGGCCATGCGGAGGGCCGCACGCACCATTCCTTTGTCCTGGCAGGTGGAACTTGCACCCCGGCCACTTTGGGTTTAGGGTTTAAGGTTTAGGGTTTGCTTTGGCTTTCAAGCGTTTAGGGCTGAGCTCTCAATTCGAACCGTTTAAGGAAATAATATAAGGAAATATGAATGTATCAATCCCACTGCTATCTCCCCGAACTTCAGGACCTTCTGATTGTAGGGGAGCGCAGAATCGGTTTGCAGTGCCCAAAAAGCCCAATACTCCTTAATTTAGGATTCCTTAAACCATATAAGGATCCCTTTAGAATTTAAGGAGTATTCTTTCTTTAACTGCGGGGTATTGGGCTCTGGTTGGTGCAAGGATGCAGCCTGCTTGGCGACGCCCTCGCGGATGAGTACCAAAGGCGGCTGCGCAGGTACTGTCACTGGGGCCTTTGCCTTCGTCAGCGGGCAAGCGTTTATACAGGAGTGTGTCTCTTTGTGGGCAGCAGGACATTAGAAGGGGGGGTACTTGGGGTAAATAGAACTATGACCTCATCGAAGATACCTTTAACCCTCCTACTTTCAACTGCTTTGTTTTTGCAACTGGGCTTGTGGGCTAGCCAGATCGGAGCCCTAAATCATCACGACTGAGGCGACTGAGGCACATGCACAGAGAGCGCTGCAGTGTTTGCAACCACTCTTCTGGGAATGTGCCCCCAAAACCCCAAAACCCCAAACCCTAAACCCTAAACAGTTTTTTGAACACAGGCAATGATCCTTTTCAGCTGGGAAGTCGTCCTTAGGAATCCAAAACCTACTTCTTCAAGTTCACACTAGAAAGCCTCGTATAGGATTCTTAGGCAACCTACCAACACAAGTAGGTTTGGGTTCGTAAGGTATACCCGAAACCGCAAAAAGTAGTTTACCACTTTTCAGGGTCAAAACCCTAAACCCTGAACCCTAAACCCTGAACCCTGAACCCTGAACCCTGAACCCTGAACCCTAAACCCTAAACCCTAAACCCTAAACCCTAAACCCTAAACCCTAAACCCTAAACCCTAAACCCTAAACCCTAGCTTGACCCTCAAGAACTCCTGGGATGCCCAGAAATCCCTTGGGATAAGTTTAGGGCGTCGGGTTTAGGCCTTGGTGCCTTGGGGATTCCTTAGACTCCTTAGACTTAGGGTTTAGGGTTTAGGGGTTTCATTCGGGTTCAGCGTTTCCGGATGCAGGGAGGGGGGGGGGGGGGATGGTCCTGGAACATCATTGTTATGGAGCATGCCTTAAGGGTTTAGGGTTTAGGTTTAGGGGTTGTTCACTCTTCTTTGGAGGTGGGATGAGAATGGTGTGGATCGCGGCTTCCCTTGACTCTGATGGCTGTACGGCTCGGGTTACCTCTCAGCATAAGGAAGGTACTCATCCAGACCCCTAATTGTGCAGTTTAGACTTAGTATGCTCTACAGGGAAATGCTCAGGCAACCATACAATAAGGGGTTGATGTTGCCATGGCCCAGGCTGCCGTATAGTTCAGAGACAGCTTGGGATCTTGGGTTTAGGGTTACGAGCAAGAAAGGCAAAGAAAATGTTGAAGTGCAGCGCTGGAGGGGAATTAAGCGTGCCATACATTACACGTCCAACAGGTGCACGGAACTCTCGGAGGAGCCAAGGTGCAATTCCTATTCCCGGGTTGAAAGCCCTGCTGCCACACGCCTGGCAACACGCCCGTCCCAAGCTCTTTGCGCTTAGCGTTCCAAGGATTACAGAGCCTATAAGGCCAAAACTCTGCAACTTGGGATGTTCCAGCTTATACTAACAGTCCATACTAGGGATGATAGTAGCCCCTATTCTAGTCCCTATTAAGGACTGTTACTGTAATGTAAGCCTTAACTCCCCCCCAAAACGCGCATGCGACTCGAACCTTGACCACCGTCTCGGGTGCCGTTGCCGAGGGCCCGGCCTCCAGCTCAAGAGAGGCAAGCTCTCATTCTTGTCTACTATTTGCACAGGAGCCCCCCCCCCCCCCCCAAAAAAAAAAAAAAAAAATATATATATATATATAATAATATATATATATATATATCTACATACAAAAAACCCTAATCATCCCTCTTTTGCCTTTCATGAGCCCCTTATGCTGCCCTTAATAAGGAAGATTTGCTTGATTTTGCCTTCTTGGCCGGGCTCTTAAACAATTGCTGTAGTTGTTGGGTGCCAGCACTGATTGGGGCAGGATACTGCTTGCAGCGGAAATCTCTTGGGATGTCGCGTCGCGCTCTAGGACTCTCGTGTCCTACACATGAAAGGTTTAGGGTTTGGGGTTTAGGGCTCAAAAAAGTTTAGGGTTTAGGGTTTGCGGTTTAGGGTTTAGGGCACTGCGGGTGCGGGAGGGAGGAGGGAGGCTTGAGGACTGCAGATCTGGGCTTAGCTGTGTTGCTAGGGTTTAAAAGTTTAGGGTTTAGGGTTTAGGGTGGGTTGAGTGAAGTTCCCTAACAGCAACCAAAGGCGCAACATCCATCCGGCAAGCCCTACGGGTTCTGCCGCGCCCTTAACCTTGAACCCCGAACCCGGAACCCTGAACCCCAAACCCTAAACCCCGAACCCTAAACCCTGAACCCTAAAACCCTAAACCCCAAACCCTAAACCCTAAACCCTAAACCCTAAAACCCTAAACCCCAAACCCCAAACCCCAAACCCTAAACCCTAAACCCAGGCAGCCCACGCCTTGGCTGGAATCACCGTGGGCGTGGGCGGAGACTTGGCCATGACGGAGGAGAACGCATCCTTCCAGGGCTTGGGTTTAGGGTTTAGGGTTTAGGGTTTAGGGTTTAGGGTTTAGGGGTTTAGGGGTTTAGGGGTTTAGGGGTTTAGGGGTTTAGGGGTTTAGGGGTTTAGGGGTTTAGGGTGTAGGGTTTAGGGTTTGCTTCCGGGAGATCTTGTGCAGGTTTAGGGTTTAGGGCTTAGGATTTAGCATGTCTACAAAAGAGGTGCTTGGGGTCTGGCACGAGATCAGACTTCCCAATTAATTGGGACGCAAAAACTGTGGAGAAAAATGTTGTGCCAGCAAAGCACACGAAATACGTTGGGAAATGGAGGCTCGAGGACGGAGGGCGTCAACGAATCCACGATGCGATGCCGAGGATTGTAGCTGCGCAGCTTTTTCTTGCCGGCTTTCATGTTTCAAGCAGACAAATCTGGGAGTCTCCAAAAACAACCAAAGTAGGCACTCGTCAAGAGTCTTGAGGGAAGTCCTGAGATTTTTCTTGCGGCCCGCCAAGCAGACCAGCCGCACTGCAGTGCATTGACAACTCGACTTCCAGACACATTAAAGAGTGACCCCTTTCACTTCCTTAGTTGTCCCGTGCCCTAAGGCAACTAAAATGCTAACCTTTGGGTCCGGAAAGTAGAAGGGGACAGATGCACAGGGATGGGACAACGTTTGTGAACCCGAAAGATGCCAGGGACCGCATTGATTCTCGGCCGCATGGTGCCAGAGGAATCTTCGCGTGGAATTTTTTTAGCGGCCTTACCAGCAGCATCGTTGCCCAAAGTGCACCACACATCAAACTCATCTTTGGCTTGACCAATGTCTCTATGTGATTGGACCTTGTGGATGTGAATAGAGCTGGGCGGTCTTGTCACAATCTTCTGAGCAATAGAACCCGGACCACCTGAACAAATCAAAATCCGATTTCAGGATGCTTTGTATAACCGAAATAAGTATCTACATGGAGGTCGACTTGGTGGTGGCGCAAAGTGCACGTAAGGCTTCGTAGGCTTCAGCGCGCAATTTCATGCCAGAGGCCTGGGGTGCCCCCGCTGTCGTTCACAAAAACAAAAGGGTTACCGGGGCCTTTGGACGTGACAACCGACCATGCACTCCAACCCTAAACCCTAAACCCTAAACCCTAAACCCTAAGCCCTAAACCCTAAACCCTAAACCCTAAACCCCAAGCCCACATTCGGGAGGTTTGAAGGGTCCGCCGACCCATCTGTGAAGACCGACCACCTTGAGGGGAATCTGGGACGCGGGGCACAAGGAGGGTAACATTTACCTACTCTGCCACGAAGTTACTAAGCTTGGGGGTTTAATTCCTGCCTTGGTTGGCCTTTAAACCCTTTAAACAATATTTACACATTGACATAGGGTCCCTCATATTTAACCCCCTCAGTAAGGAAACATAAACATTTCCCAAAAGACAAGCCTAGGTGCAAAGGGTTTTAGTAATGATCCCGACCCCTATACTATGCTCCCCTTAGAACCTTAATAGAAATAATATGCTTAAAAACCTCCTGGACTTTATATAAACAAAAATACGCAATAATTCCCAAGGGGGATGTAGTCTATTAGACGCGAGATCCCGCCTCGCCCAGCCATTGCCGAATCATGTCCAGGATGGGCGCCTGTGAGCGTTTTGCAACTTTAGCTCTCAGCACCCTAAGCCATATGAACCCTGAACCCTGAACCCTAAACCCTAAACTCCCCTTGCATATGTATTTATATATATACGTATATATATATATATATATATACCCCTTCAGGGGTTTCCATAGGGTACCTCATGCCTATTTCCCCAGCAAGAACGAGCAAGTTCAGGATCTAGGCGCTGCTGACGGACTTCGGCCCAGAGGGTAAGACCTATAGGCCCTAACCCTTTTGAACCTGGAAGCTGCTTCAACCCTGAGCCCTAACCCTAACCCTAAACCCGTAAAGCGCTCTCACAGTCCCAGGGCAGTTCTATGGGCCCTGAATATGCTCCCTTACCTCTCCTCTAAAGGGGTTCTGAAGTGTGGGCCCTTGTGTGGTATATGGTTTTTAAGGGGTAAAAGGGTTCTCCTTTTAAGGGTCCATACTCAGGGACCATGTAACTAACCTAAGAGATAGTCCCATTGATGGTAGCGCAGCAACGATTGGAGAAAACAGGGCGACGACACATGAACTGAAAGATCTAAGAGTTTACTGTAAGCCCTACGCCCTGTGTTGGTTTAGGGGTTAATTCGGGTCTAGGGTCTTGGGGTTTACACGTACACAAAATACAGGACCGACTATATGGCAAAAATGTCCCCGAATTATGCTCCTTCCCTCTGCTATAAACACCTTCAACGTGTACTGAGACCCGTATGCTGGCTCTCTGAATTATGGTCCTTTTGGGGTGGTAGGCCTGGAGCTGTATTCTAGATAAGGGGCCCAAAAAAGGGACAAAGACTTCGCCATACGTGGCTGCTGCAAGTTGAAGTATCCCTTCTGGTTGCTTGGGTTTAGGGTTGCTGAGGGTTTCGGGCCTTACTTGAAGGTTCATGGGTAGTTATAAGGAGGTTTGTAAGGGAACTATAGTTCTCACCTTACTTAGGGTACTTACAACCCCTACTTATCACGTCCCATGAACCTTCAAGTAGGGATTTAGGGCCCTAAACCCTAAACCCTAAACCCTAAACCCTAAACCCTTTTGCAACGAACCCTAAACCCTAAACCCTAAACCCTAAACCTAAACCCTAAACCCTAAACCCTAAACCCTAAACCCTTAGGGATGGTGAGGGGAACCGAGGGGCTTCGATGGGCGTGCCCAGCTGCGTAGCCATCTGCAGCGCCGTTTTCACAGCTGCCTCCCCAAATGGGCGGTTTAGGATGCTAAGGGAACCCCAATAGGGTTTAGGGTTTAGGGTTTAGGGTTTAGGGTTTAGGGTAGGATCCCCTTTTAATAAGGACCCCAATCAGGTACCCAGAACATCGTAAACCTCCAAAGTTTCTGCTTGCGTCTTTGTTTACTGGTTGGAGCGGGTTTCTTAAGTAGGGGGTACCCTTTGTGGGGGGGCCCCTTTACGGGGATTCTTGTCTATTTGGGGTATGAAAGGGGGTGCCCCATTTTTGAGAAATGCCCAAATCTTCTGTGTGTGTGTGTGTGTCTTTGTTTATTGGTTGGACTTCTGCCTTAGTTTGTTGCTGCATGATCTTTGGGCCAAGATAGGGTTGATGGGCCGCTTGACTAGCTGTCCACTTCGACACTAAGCCCTCGCCAAGCCTTGTCCTGGTTCGCGACACCTTGACGTATCAAAAGTAGCAGGTCCTGCAGGCCAAAAGACAGGGTAAACCAGGAAGCCGGCGGGTCAATGCTGTCAGGATGCGAAGCCTGAAAACCCTCAAGCCCATGCGAGGCAAGGACAACTTAACAGCCTTAAGTCCTCAACCCTAAACCCACAGTCAGCTCTCAAACCTCAATCTCTAAACCCTACTTGAAAGGTTCACGTAGCTATAATTAAGTAGGGTTATACCCCTAGAATACGCATTTATAACCATATGGTTGCCCATGAATCCTAAACCCTATGCCCTAAATCCTTTTTGCAGCAGGCTTGCGTGGGTCCTCGCCTGGATCAGGCTATCGCTCTCCGAGCTGACAGCACTAGCTGAAACCATCTTGTGCAGAAAAGATCCAGCTTTTCGACGCTCTGTCTTGGCAGCAACTCTCTCAGCGAAGCCCTAAACCCTAAATCCAGAACCCTAACCCTGTACCCTAAACCAATAACTAAGGAGTCGAAACCCCCAGTATCCCAGACTCTCCTGCGGCTTCGGTGTGCCACCAGCTGGCACTGGTGCCGCGGGAGACAGGCCTAGGGTTTAGGGTTTGGGGTTTGGGGTTTGGGGTTTAGGGTTTAGGGTTTAGGGTTTAGGGTTTAGGGCTACAAGAAGTTTCAAGGGTATACTCGTAACCGCCATGAACCTTCAAGTGTGCCCAGCTCACATATGCTGCTCAGGTTTAAGAACTTGAAATGTTTGCGGGAGCCTACAAGAATTTGAGGTATTGGCCTTAGGATCTTGGGCTTGAGAAATAGGCCTCTAAGGTTGACGCTTGGGATGTTCCCTCTTATACTAGCAGTCCTGAATAGGGATTACAACGCGGGGGGGGGGGTATTAAAAATCCCTATGAAGGACTGTTGGTATAAGATGGTATAAGGTGGAACATCCCAAGCTGACGCTTGATCGCTGAGGGGCTGAGGGGCTGATAAGCCTGGTTGGCCTCGTGGTGTTCTGTTTTCCTTTACAAGGCCGATCCTGAACCCTAAAACCCGAAACAGGAAAGGGCTTATAGGGTTTACAATACTCCCCTTAGAACCTTGAAAGAATTAATATGTGTTGCTATTCCCTTGGGTTTATATGCTGTAACCAAAAAACATTCCCGAAGGGGCTAGCGTTTACGGGCTTCAAGGCGTAGAGCTGCCATGGTTCTTTAAGCTCATGTTGGGTCTGCTCGTTGAGCCAAACCCGAACCCCCCCCCCCTTCACCCCCTCCAGTGAAGTACAAAGGACCTGGCTTTTCAGAACACTCCCCGTTGAGCTGCTCACTCGGCCCTGCATATCTGTAATAAGGATGCCGCAAGAACAAACATGTCTTCTGGGCATATAGCCTCAAGTCGCTTAAGTACTGCCTCTGCTCCTCAGACACTATCATCTGGGTCATACTCAGTTCAACATCCGCTGGTGGCTTCTTTGGGGGATCGAGTTTCAAGACCTTTTGCACCAAGAAAAGGGTTGCGGGTTTGGGTGTTTTGGTGTTTGGGGGTCTGTGGCTTAGACACCCTAAACCCGAAAGCCGAAACCCCACGCCCGAAACCCTAAACCCTATATTTGGGGAGCAGCGAAGAGTGCACAAGTGCCATCTGCGGCCCACATCACCGTTCCCTGGCAACGGCACCGCGGCGGGCATGCCAACCTGAGCTTATCTGCGTTGGAGGGTCTCTAGGGTCTCTAGGGCTGTGGATTATTCTAAGTGGAGTTCTCAGCAGGGTAGCTATCTAGGATGACCCTTAATGCAAAATGTCCCAAGGGCCTACCGAGCTGCTGTAGTCATAGCTGGTTCCACGCTTATTTTGGGGCACTTGCAACCCTACCTATATAACTGCCCGTGAACCCTCAAGTGAGCCCCCAGACCCCTTAATTAAGGAGTCGACCTTAGCCCACAATAACTCAGTTGCTGAGTTCATCACACTTTCAGTTCCATAGGGGATTATAGTCTCCCAAAAAGTGTAAACTGCGCTCGCACAGCTACTAACATGGTTTCGGGTTTAGGGTTTAGGGTTGACTCCTTAGCTCCGGCAGCATTTGGCTCCCTGAGGGTTTGTAGGATATAGGACTGGCTCTGAACCATTTTTTCCTACCAGGACTCAACCCTAAACTCTAAGCCCTAAATCCTGAGCCCTAAACCCTAAACTCTAAGCCCTAAACCCTAAGCCCTACGCCCTAAGCCCTAAGCCAGCAAGGTTGAGGCGGCAGGGCTGAAGGGTTCCAGGGCGTCATGGCCCAAGAACCTCATCCCTAAACCTTGGCCCCAAAGCTGCTCATAGCTATAAACCCTTTTGTGCCTCGGGGCTATGATGTCATAGATCAGAGCTGCACCCTAAACCCTAAACACTGAACCCTAGACCCTAAGCACAGTACCCTGCGTTGTTGTTGTTGGGAACATTCGACTCTCATTCCGGTTGCTTTGGCAGGCCAAGGCCCAACCTTCATGGGTACTTGCAAGTAGCGTCGCAATTGTAAGTCGGGTTCGAAGTGCCCCCAAGAAAAGCTATCACGGTTTAGGGGTTAGGGTTTTAGGGTTTAGGGCTTAGGGTGATAACTAGAGCTATCCCCCCCCAAGTCTTTACTACCCATATGATTGGGAAATATGGTTCTAGCTATAGCGAACCGACTTGTAATAACACACCTCTGCTCCCCTAAGAACCTTCATAAACAAATGCTACCTTGGGTTGTGCATATATATATATATATAGAAAATGTTAATTCCTAACGGGCTATAGTACCTACCCCTAAACCCTAAACCCCGGAACCTCTAAGTACGCCAGAACAGAACTGGGCATGCCACGGCCCGCCCTTGTACTGGGGACCCCGAGAGGACTTCTGGAGCTTGGGGCTTAGGGATCTCCCGAAACCCTAAACCCTAAACCCTAAAGCCTAAACCCCAAACCCTAAACCCTAAACCCCAAACCCTAGGGATTTCGGGGGGGGGGGGGCCTGCAACCCACGCTCTCAACACTATCAAGCTCTCTCTGCGCCGTCAGTACCCGAAGACTCTCGACTCTCACCTCTCACGAAAATGAGCCGAACAGCCTCGAGCCTATACAACTGCTGTAGTCCTCAACTTGTGCGTGTTTGCGTGTTTGCGTGGGTGTGGGTGTTTGCGTGTTTGCGTGTTTGCGTGTTTGCGTGTTTGCGTGTTTGCGTGTTTGCGTGTTTGCGTGGGTGTTTGTGTGTGTGTGTGTGGGTTCTTGTTCGGACAACCGCAAAAACTGCTCAGCTCTACGTTGGAGGAGGGACCGGTAGGCTTGGCAAAGCAGACGGCATGCCAGGACGTGGTGGCAGCATCATACCTGGACAGCAACTTTGGGTTGACCTGGTTTAGGGTTTAGGGTTTCGGGTTCTGGGGCTCCATCCTACTATTTTGGGGGTTAGGCTCCATCTTAGCTGATATACTGGGCGTTATAACAGGCCATAACCTTCTAACTTCTAGTGTGTAGGGTTGTGGCGGCAACCGCATCCCTGAATGGCAGACTGCGTGAGGGCATCTTGCTAACGTGGTTATGGTGTCAGGTTCCATGGGTCAGCTCTTCACGCCATGTGTGGCTTTGGGTTCATAGGGCAAAAGTCGGCACGAGCAGGGTTGGTTCAAGTGTGAAAGCCGGCTCTAAACCTTAAACCCTAAACATGAGCCATGCCTGGTGCAGTCGGCGCAGTCATACCCGCGCCCGGGGGCATGAACCCCATGCCTCAGAAAGGGCCACTTGGAGGTTCACGGGTAGTTATGCGTGGTGTTCGAAGTAGGGCAACTATATGGTTGTAACTGGATATCACCTTGTCTAGGGCACTTGCAGCCCTACTTATAGCTACCCAAAAACCCTAAACCCTAAACCCTAAACCCGGAAAAACGGACACGGGCTCCTAAGCCCCCTACCAGGATGGGCTATAAGGCCTTATGAAATCCCCAGAAATAATCCTATGAAGGGCCTTTGAAGGGATTATAGGGTACAGTAGCCTATCCTGGTAGAAACCCCGACAGCCCCTCATCTTGAGCGACACGTTTAGGGTTTAGGGTTTAGGGTTTAGGGTTTAGGGTCTAGGGTTTAGGGTTTAGGGTACGTAACCCTCCTGGGCCATGATGCCCCAGCATCCTACTTGGACACACGAGGCCGCAGTGTCCAAACCTCCCTGTGCCGAAACTGCACCCTAAACCCTAAACCCTAAACCCTAAACCCAAAACCCTAAACCCTAAACCCTGAACCCTACCAACCCGAAACCCTAAGCATCCTTAACCGGCAGCACATACTTTGGACTTCGAAAGGTTTAGGGATCTGTGGAAGGCCCTGAGCCCTCCACTTCCACTTGGGATTTGTTGAGGGTTTAGGGTTGAGAGTTTACTGTTTAGGGTTTAGAGTATGAGGGTTTCGGATTGAGAGTTTATTGTTGAGATTTTAGAGTTTATTGCTTTGGGCTTAAGGCAGTTTAAGGTTTAGGGTGCGCCGGCACTGCCGCAAAGCATCGCAGCTTTCCCTCAACGGTGTGGGGGGTTTAGAGTTTAACCGCTCACGCTCGGACAAGCCAGGCGGGCATACTCCACTCAACATCAGATTCAACCTACAACCCTAAGGGTCCATGTACCTACATAGTACACATTGGGGCCCTAAAGCTACTGTATAGGAACCCCTTTAAGGCCCAAGTATATACTTTTGGGGGTACAAGGACCCCGTTGGGCAATGCCCCCTCCCAACGTAGCTTTCCCACGTCGGAAATTGGACATGTGACACGTGGCTGGCCCGAGGGGCCTCAAATTGACAGCTTACGCCTCGTCTAACCGGCCACTACTAGCTCCTCACCCCGAACATCCTTGAAAATTCCTTGGGTTTAGGGTTTCATAGAGTTAAGGTTTTCGGGACCCCATTTGAACCCCGAAGAAGAATTGAGGCCCCAGGAACCAGCCCTAAATATTTCTCAGGCTGCTGGCGAGCCCGCCTCGTCCTCCTCGTCCTCCTCTTGCCCCTCCTTGTCTTCCCACGCCGGCACAAGGCCATTCTTATTGAGGACTCGCCACTTGTCTTTGACTTGCGTGCCATTCCTGTGCGGCAGACCACAGCACTTGGAGATCATCTTCCACTGCTTCCCATACTTCCGGAAACCCTCGAGGAGGCGCTGCTCTTCATCTTCCGTCCAGGCCTTGTATTCCTAGGATGGCCCCTGAAACCCTCTGAAACATATTCCTGAGTATAGGATCCTCTTAACCCCAAACATGGGAAAGAAACCCTCTGAAAAAAATATTCCTGAGTATAGGATCCTCTTAAACCCAAACAAGGGGAAAGCAGAAACATGTCCCAAGGGCCTACCTGGATGCTTTTCTGGCCTTGGGAGCTCGACCTTGTGCCACGAAGTCGAGGGTCTGGGCCAGAGACCGCTTCTTGCTGTTGGGCCCTTGTCCACCAGCGGGGTGTGTGCTCGAAGCAAGTTCACTGAGCGGCGAAAAGATGTCAGGTGGGCTTCTTTCTGCAGCTCGCGTTGCAGGCACTGTCGAGTCAGAGGCCTGCAAGTTGGAGGAGACATCCATGCAGGTATCCTCATTGACAGGCTTGGGCAGCATGTCGCAGCCCAACCTGCGTGCCGCCGCAAAGACCTCGCGTGGCAACTTCCAACTCTCCAAGGCTTTCGAGGCTGGGCCCTCCTCCAGTCCCACGTCCCGAACCTGCAGAAGGCCCTCGACGCTGGGCGCCTTCGCCCAATCGCGTGCGGCATTGGTGAGGCGATCCCCTGGCCTCTCGGAAAGCAGGCGCAAAACCTTTGCCAGGCGGGCGACAAGCCGGAGCCGCGTGCATCGCAGCAATGCATCATGAGGGATGCTCTGTACCCTTTCGCAAAGCGGCTTGCTCCTTCGCTGAAGGCCGCCACTCCTGTGAAGTCGCTTCTCAAAAGGCGAAAAGCAGCGGCATCGACCTCTTGCACCGTGGCGAAGGCAGACTTCACCATGGGCAGACGAGGCTCATGGAGCCTATGTAGGATTTCGGGCTTGCTATAGGGGCCTGAAAAAAATAGAACATTTTTTTTATTTATTTTTTTTTTTTATTTTTTTTTTTTTTTTTTGGGGGGGGGGGGGGGGTTTGGGGTTATTGTAGTACATTGTATACAGGGACCATAGGGGAACATTCTTGGTAATTATTCCTATATTATACACCGTTTACAAGATGAAGGTCGAGGCAAAGCAGCAACCTGTCTTGAGGAGTTCCCCCTCGAGTGGTCGTAGTCGTGCCTATGGACTGAGTGGGGTCCGGCTTCGAAGTGCTATGCTTGAGCGGTCTGTGGGAACCGGCCTTTGAACGCAAGGGCACCTTGGGTCTTCAAGGAACATTTACTTGGACCTCACCGAAAGTTCTGAAAGGGGTAGAAACAATGGCACCTTGGATCCCCAATCCCAAGTTCCCTACTGAGATCACTGAGCCAAAGTGAACTTCACAAGCGCAAACCAGCCGTTGCGACGAAGAGAGAGGCGCTTCCTGGACTTCCCTTGGGTTAAGGGACCTAAAACGACCTACTTGAAGGTTCAGGGGGTAGTTAGAATTAGGGTTCGGAGCACCCTGAAGAGGGTTACAACCAGCTATAGGTAGAGTACCCTGAAGAAGGCTACAACTAGTTATAAGTATAGTTACCTTACTTATAACCCCACTTATAACTACCCATAAACCTCCAAGTAAATATGCAAGGACCTATCTAACCCCAAGGGTCCATGTACTCATTTTCTTGGGGCCATATCATGGCCATTCCTACGCAGTAGCTTTCGGGCCCAAACATATGGGGGTTTCCGAAAGTAGGGGATTGGTTTTTTGGGGCCCGTAGTATAAGGGGATCATACTATTTGGGTGTCTAGGGCACATGGAACCTCAGGATAAGGAACAGTTGGCAGCTGATTTCCCTGAGCCCTAAACCCTAAACTCTAAACCCTAAACCCTAAACCCTAAACCCTAGGCCACCAACTCCGGACCCTTTTAAGCCCAAACCCTGAACCGAAGGTTCATGGGTAATAAAAGGTACGGTCTAAGTCTGGGTAACTATAAGCTGCAATGGATCAAAGCCATCTTCAGGGTACTTACGACCCTACTCATAACTGGCCCTGAACCTTCAAGCAAACCTTATACCCTAAGCCCTAAACCCTAGGTTGGCCCCCCGAAACAGATTCCTAAACAAGACCCTCCCTAAACCCTAAAACCCTAAACCCTAGATTATCCCATATAGATGCCTGCAACACCCCGCGCTGATGCCAAGCCACCCCCTGGGAATGGCGCGAAGGGAGGAAACTTGGCAGCCCCCGGGCCCAACATGGCGGCGACAACAGTTTGCCTGCCTTTGGGGCTGCAACAACAATTTGCCTGCTTTTGAAGGCTCTTGGGTAGTTCATAAGTAGGGTCAGACGTGCCCTAAATAGGGTTATACGTATAGTTCCCCTACCTTTTAACCCTACTTATATCTACCCATGAACCTCCAAGTGTGCTCCTGTGATCGGCTTGGCGTGCTTTCGCTTCTGTGTGGGACTGTACTGTCCTTTTCCCCGTACCGTATCGTTCATCGGCTTCTGCAATCGCGCAACGCATGCCATGGGGTGTCTTCACAGCTCCAAAGCCCCGACGTCTGCAGTGTCTAGCCAAGAAGCTGCACAGCACCAACATGCTAGAGTCCTTTCCCCTCAACCCTAAGCCCGCTAGATTGGGCTCGCATGTTTGGAAAACTCCCCAGGTGATCCTGACCCTCCTCCTCATTCTACAGGGTCTTGCTCTTTGAGCCAGAAGCCGGTCTTGCCTGCCTTGGGGTTTAGGGTCAGGTCTAGGGTCCAGGGTCTAGGGTTTAGGGCTTTTAGTCGAAGAAATGGCTTGGACCGGGTGGAAGCTCCAGGGTACATCTTGGGCTATAGTTACTGTACCCAGTAGTAGTAGTAGTAGTAGTAGTAGTAGTAGTAGTAGTAGTAGTAGTAGTAGTAGTAGTAGTAGTAGTAGTAGTAGTAGTAGTAATAGTGACAGGAGTAGGAGTAGGAGTAGTAGTAGTAGTAGTAGTAGTTAGTAGTTGTTAGTAGTAGGAGTAGCAGTAGTAGTAGCAGTAGATTAGTAGTAGCAGTAGCAGTAGCACTAACAGTAGCAGTAGCAGTAGCAGTTTTAGCAGTAGTAGTAGTAGTAGTAGTAGTAGTAGTAGTAGTAGCAGTAGTAGTACTAGCAGTAGTAGCAGTAGTAGCAGTAGCGGTAGCAGCAGCAGCAGCAGCAGCAGCAGCAGCAGCAGCAGCAGCAGCAGCAGCAGCAGTAGTAGTAGTAGTAGTAGTAGTAGTAGTAGTAGTAGTAGTAGTAGTAGTAGTAGTAGTAGTAGTAGTAGTAGCAGTAGCAGTAGCAGTAGCAGTAGCAGTAGAGTAGTAGTAGTAAGTAGTAGTAGTTGTAGTAGTAGGATAGTAGTAGCAGGAGTAGCAGTAGGGTAGTAGTAGTAGTAGTAGTAGGAGTAGTAGTAGTAGTATAGTAGTTAGTAGTAGTAGTAGTAGTAGTAGTAGTAGTAGTAGTAGTAGTAGTAGTAGTAGTAGTAGTAGTAGTAGTAGTAGTAGTAGTTAGTAGTAGTCGTAGTAGTAGTAGTAGTAGTAAATAGTAGTAGTAGTAGTAAGTAATAGTAGTAGTAGTAGTAGTAGTAGTAGTAGTAGTATAGTAGTAGAAGTAGTAGTAGTAGTAGTAGTAGTATAGTAGTAAGTAACTAGTTAGTAGTAGTAGTAGTAGTAGTAGTAGTAGTAGTAGTAGTAGTAGTAGTAGTAGTAGTAGTAGTAGTAGTAGTAGTAGTAGTAGTAGTAGTAGTAGTAAGTAGTAGTAGTAGTAGTAGTAGTAGTAGTAGTAGCAGTAGTAGTAGTAGTAGTAGTAGTAGTAGTAGTAGTAGTAGTAGTAGTAGTAGTAGTAGTAGTAGTAGTAGTAGTAGTAGGAGTAGTAGTAGTAGTAGTAGGAGTAGTAGGAGTAGTAGGAGTAGTAGGAGTAGTAGTAGTAGTAGTAGTAGTAGTAGTAGTAGTAGTAGGGGCGAACTGGCCCCATTTTACGTTGACTTCCCCTAACCTACGAATTTGGGAATTGTTGAGGGCTTCCAGGCCTCATGGCTCTAGGGCTGTTGGGGTTTCAGAGTTTTTTAGGAGTTTTTTATAAGGAATCAGAAGAATTATTTTTACTGGGCTAAACAGAAAATGATTGGGCTTTAAGAGGGTTTAGGGTTTAGGGTTTAGGGTGAGATTTCCTGGAGCTCTGTTCGCCTGCAAATGCGGGCTGTGCTTCCTAACCAGAGGCCGAGATGCGAATAAACTGTAGGAATTAGCAGTCTAAACCCTAAACCCTAAACTCTAAACCCCAAACCCTAAACACGAAACCCCAAACCAAAGAGTCACAGGTTGGGGCTTAAGTGGGGGGGGGGGGGGGGGGGGTCGGGGGACTTCATTCCCCCCTCGGCTAGGAGTGAGTGTGGGACCTGCAAAAAGACCCCCCCCCCTTTGAGTCCAGTCAGGTACACATCCGAACTCCGGCACGACGCAACCACGCAGCAACGACTTCAAGAACTTAGGAAAATCCTCCGGCTGCATACTGCAAGGGGTTTAGGATTTGGGGCTCAGGGTTTTTGATTCCCGAAAGCAAACCCAATCCACTTGGCAGGCACCTGCAGCGTGGGAGTGTGAACTCCACCAACAGAAGGATGGTGCGCAGCATCTGACAGTCTGGGTCTGCAACACGATCATCTGGGTGCCCAGTTCAATAGGAGCCCACATGATTCCCAATGCTCTCCCTCACAAGCCCCATATATTGCTTAGAACCGCAACATTCTAAACCCTCAGCCCTAGAAGCCACAAACCCTAGTTCAACATGCCCCCCCCCCCCCCCCCATTGTGCACTTTCGGGACTCTGTAGAAGCTGAGCTGGTGGCTTTGAATGAACGCGGCCTGTGACAAGGCACAAATTCAGAGCAACATCTCACTCGCGAGCTGAGGATTGTTGCCAAGAGTCCTGACCTGGACATCCTTTTTGTTAGGCTCTAAACCTAAATGAGGCCCCTAACTCCTGGACCTGAAGTCCCCAAACCGAAAACCCAAAACCCTTAAGCCCTAATTAAGCCGTAACCCTAAACCCTAGACTTTGCGGTTCCCAGGCGCCCGGTGATAGAAGATTGGGGACCAGAAGGCCGTTCCCAATGCCACCAGGATCGGCCTCAGGCCCAAAAAGAGTTTAGGGTTAGGGTTTTAGGGTTTAGGGCTACTTGAAGGTTCATGGGTAGTTCTACATAGGGTTGTAAGTAGGGTAGCTATGGCGAAAGGTCATTCAGGCTCGTTTCTATCCCTATACTCATCCCCTAAACCCTAAACCCTCAAACCTAAACCCTACCGCCTGAACCATCGAGTCGGGTTCCTAGCTGAGACCCTCGACGCTCTTACCGGCAAGAGAGTCATGACGTCATCTGCTTCGGGCTTTGGGGTTTAGAGCCGAGGGTTTGAGCGACAGCGAGACGATGGAAGGTAACAGAGGACTGTGCATTAAGGGCTTGTGACAAGAAAGAGGCTTTTGTGCGGAGCTTTTGCCTCAAAAAGCAACAACCTGCCCAGCTGCCCTAAACCCTAAACCCTAAACCCTAAACAGGGGATTGCAAGGTCGAAGGCCGATTTGCATGAGCTTAAGGGGTCTCGCATAGATTTTTACCACGATTCGAGCACCAAAACAAGGGTTTAGGGTTTAGGGTTTAGGGTTTAGGGTTTAGGGTTTTAGGGTTTTAGGGTTTTAGGGTTTTAGGGTTTTAGGGTTTTAGGGTTTTAGGGTTTTAGGGTTTTAGGGTTTCGGGTTTCGAGTTGAGCTACAAGAACTGGGCTCAGAAGCATGCAGTCAGGTCTATGCGCGTTCTGAGATTCTTAAGGGGTACAAGGAGGGGCCCCTAGAATGGACCCTCAATGTTTTTCCCCCCCCTTTATAACCCCGATATATACCTTCCAT